AAAATGTAAAAGAAAAGAAGAAAGAAAGAAAGAAAGAAAGAAAGAAAGAAAGAAAGAAAGAAAGAAAGAAAGAAAGAAAGAAAGAAAGAAAGAAAGAAAGAAAGAGAGAGCACTTTCTACACTTCCTGCCACAGTTTCCTGCTTTGAAATCCATTCTGTTGGCTGGAAGAAAACATAGTGAGAAACCACCCACTTGGCCCTTGGTCATGGACCCACACGGGCTGTCCCAGAGGTGTCCCTGTCCTGTGTGCACCGGGCCAGGACCTCACTGCCGCTCCTTCAGCATCGAGGCAGGTTCACTGCTTACAACGTTGCTATGACGCCAGCTGCCCGGTACCCAGCAGAGCCAGCTCTCCGCGGTCTCGCCACCTCCCAGGTGGCATAGAAGGCTCCCAGGCCCCTCTGCTCTCGGGAACTGTGGTGTCGCTCCCTCTGTCTGCTCTTTTCCCAGTTCAGGTGGAGATGCTCCAAACTCTCCTAGTGGACTCCTGGCTGTAGAGTTTGGGCGAGTTACTTCACCTCTCCTGCCTTCGCTCCTTTACCTGTAGATGGGAACTTAGCCACACACAGTAACGTGTACCTGGCCTGCCAGGCACTGCTCTGGGCACTAGAGACATCGCAGTCAACAAACCCAGACAAAAACAGATCTTCACGGGGCATTCTAGCAATACTAGCAATACCACCCTGTCAGGGTTTCCAGCGAGCTCACTGAGTGCATAGATCCGGCTCTGAAAGATCCCTAGTGCGCACTTAGGGATCCCCCAGTAAGTGCAGTTTTACGTGTGATTAGCGATTCATCTGAAGGGAGCATGGTTTGCCTTCAGGAGTCTAAGCTCAAGAATCCTTTCCTTTTCTGTGGCTGGGCTTTTGGAACTAACAACCAGAAAGAGAAGTGGTTATCGTTTCCGTTTTTCACCTTGCTTCACCCTCTCCTGAAGAACGCACAGAGCCAGCTATGAGAACACGCCGGGTAAAACCTCCTAAATGATTACCTCAGGACGCTGTTCGAGCCCGTGCCACGATTTCTTCATGCTGTGCCCTTTATCAGCACCCCGGGCATCTAGGTTGGTCTGCCTGAGAAATAACTGAACACTGTCAGCTCAGGCGGCAGTGTCCACACTGTGACCCTCTGATGGCACATATCTTCGTTTTCTCCAACAGCCTCCTAATTGGAAAACTCGATCCTGCGGTGTGTCCTTAGCGAATTTTCCTAACTCCTGTTCAAAATCCATCGTTCAGTCCAACTCCAGTTTTGTTCTATCTCCTCGTT